CTGGGCTTCCCTCCTAAAGCTGCTGCCCCCGCGACCCGACCCCGGATAAGCGGTGGAAAATGGATGGATGGATGGATGGATGGATAAAGGATGGATGAAGTCTGGACAAATCTCTTGTAACGTGCCGCGTTCCAAATAGTGGCATTGATTTTCTTTCACGTGCTCACTGACTTTAATTGGAATCTTAAGAGATGATAACGGTGATGTACTGGTGAATTAATGGAAAAGCAGAAACATACTGTATTTCAGTATCACCGGGTAGTACTTGGCATGTTTGTACAGTACAGCCACGCTGTGACGCTGTGACCGAACTGAGTGATTCAGCCGTTAACTGTATTTCCTGAACACTATCTATCAGGTAGCACCTTCTCCGATTGGTTCGCGCGTTGACCGTGGCGTTGACGTTCCAAAATAGACGTGTAACGTCACTAAATGTTCCTGTGAGTCTAAATTCGGGGATCGTGAAATTTTATTTCCGGAAGGACGTTGTGGCTTTCACGAAAGAAACAAAATGGAATCCTGAAACTACACTTCATGTTACACTCAATCGTTTTATAAGGTTATTGGAAGAACAACTGGGACTTACTATCCTATCATTACTCTCATCACCGAGCAGGTAACATAACAGGGACCTTTTGAGAGACTGTTTATGTTTCCTGGTACTATTATTTTGAGCGAACCATTTCGGTCCCGTTTGCACTTGCCTCGTACTGGTTTAGAACGTCATTGCTACCTGCCGTCCGCTTAGTTAGCTCAGCAGTGGCTAATGGCTGTCGATGACGCTACACTTTAGGGACTTGGAACAATCCCATCCCGTTGTTGAACATTTACTGAAGCTTTGTCAGCCGATTTACAATTGCGATTGACCTTGCCAGGTATGTGTACACGGCAATTTAGTGGTACTAACGACTCTTGTGAAATTGATCGCTACCGTGAGGTTAGACGAAAGGCCCGTTTGAAGATTACGTTGCTAGCGGCCACTCCGCTAGTTAGCATTGAAGCCACATCGCCGCTTGTAGCCATTTATCTCGGCGTGTCCGACTAATAAGCCAATAAAACACGTTTGAAATAAATTCTTTTACGGTAACTGTACGTCAAGTGGTTTCAGCCATCTTGTTTACATTAAGTGTACCGAGTACAGTAGCGTACGTGTTCACTAATAGCAATATGAACGCAAACTAGATGCCATTTTGTTTTGGCTCTATTTCTCAATGTATAAAGGGCTTTCCTTCAAATTAGACTTCTCCATATCAGCTGTTATGTATACTTGTTATTTTCTTTAGAACATTTGGTAGTTTCGCTGTACTACAAATTACAGTGTTATAATGTTAGCGAATTGAAATGATAATTCGACGTTTGGGTTTAGGTAATAACTAATGGATGTATTAACAGCGATTTTCGATATGGAATTTCCTGACACGAAAAATAACTGAATAATGTACTGTTTCTACTACAACACATCTGAAAAATATATCGAGTCAGGCCTTGTAATTCAGTGAGCTACCGCATTTTTTAATCACCCACATTTGTCATTTATTCAACAAAAGTCATTTCTAATCCTTACATCTTTTCCAGCAGATCCTTAAAAAGTCTTAGATATTTAAGTCAAGCAAGGCCTTGATTAGCAATCAAATGTAAATCTTTCAGGACCTAAACATGTTAACACATGATGCATGTAGGATGTCATGATTGTAAATAATCACAAAAAATAAAAAAATACCAAATGGTTCTCGTGGTAAGATCACACAAAATAGGACCTTGAGACTATTGTGAAGTTGTTCTTTTACATCAAATGGAACTAAAAAGCCTAAAATTTTTAACTTGTCTTAAGAAGTTGGAACCATGTTTTAAACCATTATTACATACAGTACATGTACATTTATTGTGTTTCATCCAGCTTCTAAATCTTGCTGGAGACTGGAGAATCTTCTCGGACCTCTTCCCCTTCTGACTCAATGGAAGGGTCTGACAGTTCAGAGCAGAGCGCCAGTGACCAGCCAGAGTCGCAGCGCAGGAGGCAGCTCGATCGTCTTGATAGAGAAGAGGCCTTCTACCAGTTTGTCAACAATCTCAGTGATGAGGACTATCGTCTCATGAGGGACAACAATCTTTTGGGTACCCCAGGTAATCGTCTTCCATTTTATGGGTAGTTAATTTTACTGGACATGCTGTCAGCTCATCATATGATTACATTACTGATGTTTAACCCTTATATTATGTTAAGGGTCAATTTGACCCATTTCAGTTTTTTTGTTGACCAAACCACTGAATTTCCTTTCTTTTTATTCATGAAATTTATTGACTTTTCCTCATCTAGGGTCATGAACTGGTGTGTAAAATCTGGACGCTCTGATGTGTAGTGGGATGTCTGTGCACAGTTTGAATACAAATATGATGTTGGGGGTCATTTTGACCCAGGCACTTTAATGTGGGCAAGCAGCTTTTCAGATCCAAAAGAAACATGTCTAATTGATGAACAGTACTTTGTTTTGACTGCTCAGTGACTGCCAGAGACCCAGGTGTGTGTAGAGCAGGAACTTTCTCTCATTTGACTCGTCACTCTTCTCATGTCATTTCTTTGACCAACATACCAAAAATGAGCTCCAGAAAATTTACAGCTGAAGAAGCTTCATCACAGAGTTTGAACTGGGATAGTGATGCAGAGGAAGAGATTTCAGAGACAGAGGATCTTTCTGGCAAGTATGGCATCAAAATGTGGGCAGCCTGTGATGCAAAATCTAGTTTTGCATGGAATATGCAAGTGCATACTGGAAAGGTACTTGGAGGAGCATCTGAGAAGATTCAGATGATGCGTGTGGTGCTGAAGATGAGTGAAGGACTGCAAAGTCATAACTTCTTTACAATATACGGCCTTGGAGATGAAGTTCAGGAGAGAAAGCTGACTATGTTGGCAACAGTCATAAGAAATAAGACAGAAATTCCCGGTGAAATTCTGAAGATGCAGGGCAGACCCCTGCATTCCTCAGTATTTGTTTTCACTGAAAAAGCAGCAGTTGTTTCAAACTGCCCAAAGAAAATAAAAATGTTCTTGTAATGAGCACAATGCACACAGATGCATCTCTGAGCACAAGAGAAGACATGAAGCCACAAATGATCCTGGACGACAACGCCACCAAAGGGGGACTTGACAATCTGACAGCACACATACAACTGCCAGTGCAATACTTTGTAGATAAAACACTGAAAATCTCAGAAAAATTAAATGAAAAAAAGAAACATAACAGGGAAAACATTCAACTAAACAGTTCTTAAATATACTGTTGGGATAAAAAATCTGTTGTGTGTCTCTTTTCTAAATGTTTACATCATCTTAAACAAAGTTGTTACTAGTGTAACCTGTTTTTTGACTATTTTGTGTGGATTTTTACAGTACGGGTCAAAATGACCCACAACATAATCAATGTGATTTTTTTTCAACATAATATGAGGGTTAATCCAAAAGTAGGCCAAAGGCCATTTTGTTCAAATTCTGTGTATCTAAGTGGCAGTATGGTGGTTTAGGTGTCTATGGTTGGATTTAAACTACATGGTTCAAGTGACAGATTTCCCAGACAAAAGGGGCCCACTTTGGTGTAGTCATGTGGCATAGCAACATATGTAAATAAAAATCTGATATGAATGAGAGAGCTGCCAACATGACTGCAGAGTAAATTGACAGACTGTTCGCGAGACATCATTGAAGTAAGCCGATCTATGGCATGCGTATACAGTGGACAGAAGAAGTCTATACACCCTTGTTCAAATGCCAGGTTTTTGTGATGTAAAAATGGGACTTAAATAATTTTAAAAAATCTGCTATAAATGTGAGTGAGACATTGAATATCAACTGAAAAAAAAACCCTCAATGTTGAGAGTGGAAATGAAAATAAACAACCAAGATAATGTGGTTGCACAAGTGTGCACACTTTCTTATAACTGTGGAAGGTGGCTATGTTCAGAATTGACCAGTCACACTTAAACCTAGGTTAATGGGGAACTAGCACACCCCTGTCACATTTGATTAGTGTAACCACAAAATAAAGTTCAGATGTTTAATTTAGTAGGCTATTTCTGACATTTTCTTTTCCCTTTAGAAGCTTTTTTGCTACCTTTTTTGTTTGTTTATTTTTAATTAGCCGAAGTCTGACAGTTTTGTGTTTACAATGACTGCTGTTGAACTGTTTCGTTTTCTCTGCACCTACTCTAAGGCTCCAGTTCTAGCTATGCTTCACTGATGGTGATGAGCAGTGTTTGCGGCAAATATATACAGTACCTTTTGAAATTATGATCACGAAATTTGACCTCGGTCTTATCTGACCATAAGGCATATGTCTTTGGTTGATTTCAAGTGTTGTTGTTTTTCCCATTGTAAGACAAAGCTTCTGTCTTGACTTTAGATTTTTGGTTTAATTAATTGCATAGGTTATATGTGACATTGATGGTAGAAAAAAAAATATTGTGAAATGATTTATCCTGGTCTTTTTTTTTTTTTAACACAAAAATGGCATTTGAACTGGGCTGTTCAGATTTAATTTACAGTTCATCCACTACACATATACAGTACACGTCTTCCAAAACACACTAGAGTTTCATGGATAGCATGCAGTAATTCAAACCTGCAGCAAAACCGTATACCTTGAAATAAAATGTGGTTTAAACCCAGTATATAGTAAAAATGTTATGGTGTAATGCAGAAGTTAACTTCATTTTACAGTGGGTTGGGGAAAATCCTTTTAAGCCAACTTAATTATTCAATGTTCCACATTTCAATTATTATTTACTTTGAGTGTGTTGACGCATATAAATTTAGCCCTTATTGCATGCAAGTTGTTAAGGTTTTTTTGTTGTTCAGAATGTGTAAAACACTGATATCTCAGGACAAACTTGACAATACAGTAATGTAAATAGACAGTAAATACAATTCTAAAGACTAAATCGAATTGTGGCACTTGGACTTGCAGTGTGAATCCAGCCTAAGAAACGTTAATGAAAACGGGTATGTCCTGCTAATTTCATTGGTCAACAAATATAGATGTTTCAATCGGAGCTGCAAGTAAACTAGATTTTGTTTTTGCACTGATTTTGCATCTGTCCTTGTTTTTTTTTTTTCCCCTCTGGCACATCATGTTTTGATAATAATAATATGCAATATAGTAATACACATGTAGTGATATTTGTGAATTAAGGATTACATTCAGCAACAGGTGGAATTTTGGACTGAAACGTCCAAGCTATAAATTACAGTGTATGGCAAAATCTGCACTGCAAGGTGCTCGAATGGTTAACACGTCCGGTTCAGAGTGCAGAGGGTGTGGGTTCAATTCCAGCCCCAGCCTTGCTGTGTGGCGTGTTCTCCCGTCTCTGCGCGGGTTTTCTCTATGTACTCAGGTTTCCTCCCCCATTCCAAAAACATGCACGGTAGGTTAATTGATAACTCTAAATTGCCCGTAGGTGTGGTTGTGAGTGAGAATGATTGTCTATCTTAAAGTCAGTTCAGGGTACCCCACCTACTGCCCAAAAACAGCTTGGATTGGCTCCATCCACATGCGCGACCCCCGTGAGGATAAGCGGTTCAGATAAAGAATGAATGAATGGATGGATAAATGGTAAAATCTGTATTATGCAAGCTTTTGTGGATCACACTTCAAAACAAACAACAACAAAATGTAAAAACAAACAACATATAATTTTTTAATCAGTGTCAGAAATAAGTTTAGGGACACGTAATGCAAACTGATGAACATTTGCTGTTGTCCAGTGTTGTTCTATTGAATTCATATTTGAGTCACCATTTTCATTGACAGTTGTAAAATGTGACTTTTTAAACTCCCAAATGTTATGGTAGTTATATTGGCTATATAATTGTTAGTCCCTTTAATCACTATTAAATAGTTTTGTTTTTCTTTTTCTTTTTTTCTTTTTTTCACCAGCCTCTACTCTTGTGAGAGACTTCAACACTTCGGTCCATTGTGTGACTATTAAGTGGATCATAGAAGTGTTTGTGTTTAGGGACAGGATTGTTAGCATATGTGTCTCACATTGTTGACGTGCACCTGTGTTAATGTGCAAAGATTAAAAAAAAAAAAAGACTATGGTACTTGTGACACAGATTTGCTCATTTCTGTTGATTATTTGGGAAGATTGAAGTTTACATAGTTGGATTGCATTTCCCTTACAATGAGCCTTTGACATTTTGTCTGCTGTGAAAGTCGCTTACATCGTTTCATCCAATGTCACCTATGTGATCATCAGAATTGTTTTTTTTTATCTCTCCACAGTCAGTTAAATCTTTTTTTTTTTTTTTTCCTTTGCCTGTATCGGAAGATGCTGTGCTGAGCATTAAGCTCGGGAAGCTTGGTTTTCACACTATGATGAAAATCCCACAACTTTCGCGCTCTACTGAAGACACCAATCCGTTTGTGTCCCAGGACAGTGGGAGGGAGAGTGTAAGTTTGGAGCATCCTTTAGCGGAGCACCCTGCGAAGCGAGGGCATTGACTGGACAGTGGCATGCCCTGGTAAGTCTAGAGGTCTTAAGCATTGTCCTGTTGCTGTGTTTTAAGGAAACAAAACAGCTCTTTGGATCAGTACTATTTTGAAAAATACTCTAAGGACTATGGGATGAATTTGTGTCCTGTGCATTTATTGCAGGATGGCACCTCGAGAAACGTTGAGCCAATAAGGAACAGAAAAAAATTTAAATACAGTACAGGCGGGATATTTTTTCACTGCTTATCATTCTATTGTTGTTGTTGAGGTCAAAAGATTTTGCGTTCTGTTGGAATATGCTTCCTTCAGCCTGATTGAACATTTGATTTTAGTGCAAAATGGTTTGCACGTTGGTGTCTTAGCTGTTTTTAAGATGAACTTAATACCAAATGACATTGAAAAAATTAATTCCGGGGTGAGACACGGCGCTGTTTTCTTGTTGATAAAGTGCTCTTGTTATGTTTTAAATTCTTTTTCAGGAGAGGCAACTGAGGATGAGCTGTTTAGTAGACTTCAGAATCTCAAAAATGGTGCAGAGCAGCAGAGTAACACGCCCAATACCGAAAATGTAGAAGAGCCCAGCGGTAAGGTTAACATCTCTTTTGCTTTCTATTTAAAATCGAATTGGTAAATCAGCGATGAGCCTGAAATGCTTTGACATATCTCCATACATTTTAGAGCAACCTGAACCCTCTGAAGATCCTCCTAACGGAGATAGTCTCCTGGAATGGCTGAACACTGTGAGGCGCACAGGCAACACAACCAGAACTGGCCATCGTGGAAACCAGTCCTGGAGGGCTGTAAGTCAGACCAACCCAAACAGTGGAGACTTTCGATTCAGCCTGGAAATCAGCGTGAATCGCACCTTAGCAGAGCAGCAGGCAGCTACCGAAGGAGAGCAACAGCCTCCAGAGTCTCAAGCAGTGGAGGGAAATGCTGACCCACCCGTTCTCATGGAGACAGGAGTGGTAGAAGAACCAGTTGTCGAGGAGATGGCTGTCATTGTTGAGCCGGAACCGGGACCGGAACCCGAGCCTGAGCAGGAGATGGTTGTTTCGAATGAGACACATGGAGAAGCTCCCAGCTCACCAGTTGTCGTGCCAGCTCAACCCACTCTTTCTGTGTCGCTACGTAGAGGACACAGGAGGGCTCGCAGCCGCAGTTCGGAACCATGCCGAACCGGGACTCGTTCAGCCAGGAGTCGCTCCCCTCTCCGTTTAGATCAGCTGGAAGAGCTCCCCAATCCCCGCTTTGCTCAAACATCTCAAAGCCCCAGCAGCAATCCTAGCAATCCACCTGCCCCTCAAGTGGAGGGTAGTTCTCGGACTCGACAGCATGTTGTTTCTAGACAAAGTGCTGCTGAGACTGATATTCAGGAGACCAGGGTTGAAACTGAACAAAGTCCTGAGACCCAAAGCGTTGCCTCCCAAGAAGGAGAAACTGGAGTTGAAGGGGGTGCAGCTGGACGACGGCCGCCGACTATCATGCTTGATCTCCAGGTGCGGCGCGTGCGTCCAGGCGAGTATCGCCAAAGGGACAGCATTGCCAGTCGTACCCGTTCGCGCTCGCAGAACTCAAACAACACGTTTCTTTATGAAAGTGAGCGCGGTGGATTTCGTAGGACTTTCTCGCGCTCGGAGCGTGCCGGTGTGCGGACCTACGTCAGCACCATTCGCATCCCGATCCGCAGAATCTCTGATGCGGGTTTGGGAGAGGCGACCTCAATGGCTCTCCAGTCTATGATTCGACAGATCATGACAGGCTTCGGGGAGCTCGGCTACCTCATGGATTCAGACTCTGATTCTTCCGATTCCAACCGTGGAGCCAATGCATCTGCGGATTTGGCTGAAAACAACGATACCCCGGATGCCGCCGCTCCTGCTGCTCCTGTTGTTGATGAACCAGCCGTAGCTGCCGATGTCAGGGCGAGGACAGTTGAGACCGATACGGATGAAGGACATGCCCCCGCCCCGCCAGCCCCCGGTGGCAGGGCTCGACCCAGACCACCTATCAGCCTTGAGGAGCCGAGCTCGTTGCCCCTTCTGCGACTGGCTCATTTCTTCCTATTAAACGACGAAGATGAGGACCAACCCCAAGGACTGACCAAAGAACAGATTGACAACCTTGCCATGCGCAACTTTGGCGAAAGTGACGCCTTGAAGACTTGCAGTGTCTGTATAACAGAGTATGCGGAAGGAAACAAGCTCCGGAAGCTTCCTTGCTCCCACGAGTATCACGTGCACTGCATCGATCGCTGGCTGTCCGAAAACTCCACCTGCCCTATCTGTCGCAGGGTAGTTCTGGTGTCTACCAATCGAGAGAGCGTAGTGTAGTTCATAGCAGTTCTCTTTGTCCCACACATGCGTGACGTAATAACCCAAGTTCATTCACAACTTGAAGGAGAGCAGTCTTTGTTGAAATCTCGACCATCCGTACCATTTGCAAGTTTTATCTTGAGGTCGTCACCAGTTTGATTTGGGTTGCTTCACGCTGGCACTGCCGGAGGTTACGGTTGCTGTGGTATTCTGGTTTCATGATATACCGAGTTTGAACATGTCGGTTTTACTTCCAGTCGCAGACAAATGACCAGGTACAACAAATAATGTCTTATCCAATGAAGACGGTTGTTGTGCGCAGAAATTGGCTTTCCATTGCAACCTGTGCCTGGGAAACTTGTCAATTAATAGACCTGACTATTACAATACTAGTTTCCACCTTTCCAAAGTTAGTCACACACCCTTGCATGCTGTTCGAATCAAGCCCTTCATGACCATTCTGTTTTTGCACTGCGTCAACTTGTGTGTGTGTGTGTGTGTGTGTGTGAGAGAGAGAGAGAGAGAGAGGCTATTCTCAAGAAAACCCTCTGGTTATAAAAGCTGTGCACCTGCAGGCAGTTCGAGCAGCTCAAACTGCACCAGTTTTATTAGCTCCTAATCAATGCCTTATATACCATGAGGTGTGTTGGTACAGTTCGGTTACTCCAGGTCAAAGTATTAGCTGTAAATATGCTTGTATAAATAATTTTGAGTCATGCTTTGTATCCGTGGTCTTATTTTTGGATTGGCCAATGTTATTGTCTACCAGGGCAACCCTTAATTTGCATCTAAACAGAGCTGGGAGCAGTCTCCGGCCAATTTTATACATTGACGGTTACGACCAAATGAGGACAATGTTGCTTTGCCATTTCATCTATACACTGCCATGTTTGTTAACTACGGCATAATGTCCATGTGCAATTGTTTCATAAAATGCAGTAGATAGTTGTTCCGGCAGAAAGAATATGGGAAAACAGATTACATTTAAAAATAAATAAATAAATAAATAAAACACTTTTGGATTTGTATCATATTTGGCTCACAAAAAAGAAATTAAAATGTAATGATGCCGATACCAGGAATTGGGGATGTCTCTGCCGGTTGTACATATTGGTTTGAAATCATACTGTTAACATGTGAATTTTCCCACATTACAAGTGCTGAAAAAAAATCATAACACGCCTGGTCTCTCTGTCAATGGTTTGCTCCTTAAAGATTCCTGGAATTTTCCCGTAGAAATGTTGCGCAATCTATTTTTCCGCCATCCATCAGTTGCC